ATTAAAAAGCTGAACGGGCCGCATCCAACCCCCGGGCCTTAGTTTGTCCATGCCTGAATTAGACTAATTCCAATAGTGTAGATGATTACACTTTACTACGCTTTTTAATAGTTATTGAAGAAACATATAATAATAATAATAATAATAATAATAACAACAATAATAATAATCTGGTGCCTTACTCGTCCTACAATGGCAAAACGTACAGTACGAGCCTCTGCAACTGACATAGGCTGCCACAGGAGGCGCCAAAAAGTTAATAGTTGCACCTCACAGACTGCTGGGAATCGAACCCAAGACTTCCTGCTCTCACTCACCTCATCTTAAACACAGTTTTTACGTTAATCAAAAAGCGTTGATCAGTGGATTCATTTGTACACAGTTACGGTTCAACTGCGGTCTCCATGCAACAAAAGAGGTTAGCTGTATCTGTACGTGGATTTTCAGTGGATTCATTTGTACACAGTTAAGGTTCAACTGCGGTCTCCATACAACAAAAGAGGTTAGCTGTATCTGTACAATCGCACGCAAACACATTTTGACACATAGGAACGTCAGTCCAGTCAAGAAATCACAGAATCACACACACCGTCTCCATCATCTTTGTAAGACAGTAAAATCCGTCAGTGTTAGAGCTTTGAACCAGCTGCTACTTTAAAGCAATCAGTCCATGATGAAAACCACCAAACTGCACCACCGGTTCTCATCAAGCTCTATCACCGATGAGTGCGTCCCAGAAGAGGAGCAGCGAAAGACTGGGCACGTATGTCGACGTGTGTTAATAGGACCAGAGTGAGACGCGTCCACATGTACTGCTCCAGACGCAAGTACACAACGTCAGAGCTGACAAACTGGATCTCTGTTGTTTCCACTCATTACACCGAAGCCGGAACAAATGAATAAGTGACAAAAAGAGACTCAGAAAAATCAATGTTTGTGTTTTACTGTCCACGAACAAATGTGTGAGTTATGTGAAACTCAATTTAGCTAACTAAATTGAAGTTGTCTAAAACCATCTTGGCTAACTGTCCAACAACGGTTTGTTCATACATTCTATTCGCTGAAAAACAGCAAAAGATAGTTTAATGGATCACAGTTAGCTAAAATTATGGTATTTTCTGGAGTATAAGTTGAACCAGTGCCCTCTAGTGGCTGTCAGTGTGAAAATAACGAACATTTAAATTTTCAGTGGTGCAGGAGTAGCAGATACTGGTACACAAGCCTAGAGTGCCCTCTAGTGGCTATCAGTGTAAAAATAAATGTGAAATTATATTTTTTAATATACGAGACGCACCTGAGTATACATCGCAAAATGGATATTACAAATGTTAGCAAAACAAGTCGAGAAATACATCGAGGACAACTGGACGGAATGGGGTTCTTAAAGAGAAATGTCTTCAAGAAAAAGTTACATCGAGGGTAACTGGACGCCGTCGTCCAGTTACCCTCGATGTAACTATTTTGATAATGACCTGGAAGACTGAGAACCTACACAGACATTAGCAAAACAAGCTAACTGCTAGTCTAAGTCCTGGAAACCATTTTAATGTCCAAGACAGTTGAGAAGAACGTTGTGTTACACTGGTGCCAAGCGTAGTTCTGTGTTTTATGTTTCATTAGAACGTCCCACTTTTTTGCTCTTAAGAAAACCTGTTAACACAGAGTGAACGTCAGCGAACGTGGCTTTCCTTCGCCCAGGTCTCCATCTGACAGGGTTGAAATCTACAAGCGCCACGGAGGAACTTAATGAAACACTTCTCTGTTCCCACACAACGACGGAACTGACAGGGGAAACTATGGGAAGTGGGCCTGAGAGCTTCATTGTCCACTGAAACGACCACCAGGGGGACACACAGCAGCGTCGCTGTGGATCACAGCTGCCATCACATGTCAACAAATTAAAGTCGGCTCGTAAAAACAGAAAAGCAGCTTTGATTTAGAGGTCGCACATTCCTGCAACCCTTAGAAAAAAAAAAAAATCGCCACCAGGTCAGGTGGGAAACTGTGAATTTGTTTGTTTTTTTTTTTTTCCAAATGTTGTTAGTGAAAGCCTGAGGCTGATGATGATGATGATGCTAATGAAACAGCTTCTCCGACGCCACACAATCACATTAGTAGCTTCACAACGCACGAGGGCTTCACTCCAAACGGGCAGTTTAACAGCAGTTTATTTACTAATCGAACAATCAGCTCTGCTTGGGATTTTTCCAGGATTATTGTCTCATTAACATTCATTTAGCCGTCAGCTAGCGTCATCTTAGTGACAGATTCTCCACACGCCAGATATCTATGTATGTTATCAAGACGTAAAGCCAGCGCAACGAGCACGAGCGTGAAATTTCATGGAAGAGTTGTTAAGCAATTCAACAGTTGTTGCTCTGATAAATTCAACGTCAGGAAAAAGACACAGTCACTCGACCAGGCATGGGCAAACTAAGGCCCGGGGGCCAGATACAGCCCGTGAGGATTTTCTATCCGGCCCGAACTTGTCCGACTTTTATTATTTAATCATGGCTTCCGTCATTTTGCCTTTTCCCTGCAAAGCCTCAACAGATGGCGCACTCCAGGGGTGTGTGGTATATTACTCTCTACTTCCCTGTTTTGGATTATTGAAGGCTTAAGCAATTATGTCTGCCTTAATGTTCACGGGGCAGTGGTGGCTGAGTGGTTCAGGGAGCGGAGTTGGGTCCGGAAGGATTCAGGTTTGAATCCACCAGTTGGCAAGTTACCACTGAGCATGGCACCATGCCATCCCTGGGCAGCTGCCCACTGTTCACATGACATCCCTGGGCAGCTGCCCACTGTTCACTTTGGTGATGGGTTAAAAACATAGGCCCGCGAGTCAAAAAGTTAGCCTACTGCTGCACTAGACACAGAAACAATTTAAGTTCTTAAGTCTCAAATTCCAATCCAAAAAATCCAAACCTCTCCGAGATACTAAGGTGCCATGTTAATGACGGAATCACTTTCACTTTTAGAATCGCGTATTCTTCAAGAACTACAAGAAACATTGAGTTGTCGTCCAATCGAAATCAATTTGCGGCGTCTTCCTCCTAAGACGTACATTTTACGTCCAAAAGCAGCAGAACACATCAGCCGACTGATGACCACAGTCTCTCTGGTAACCAAACAGCCATCGAGTCCAACGTGTTTATTCCGGTAAATATGATGCGTGACATAATCTAAGCTCTACTTCTGCTTGTCGGCCGTTCACCTTGTTCTTTATTTCCTTTATTTGCGCTCGGACCAATCTGACAAAATGAGCTGTGATTACAGGGAGAAGAGATTAGACAGAGACATCATTTTCCTCTTTTTTTTCCCCATCAGATCATTTCCCCACCAGACCCAGTCGTTCAGGTTTGCTTTTTTACCAGCTTTGCGTCCATCATACACGATATTTATTTGTCCCGTATTTAGTAAAGAAGCTAGCCGCCCTTCAACGGATATAGCGTTAGGAAACAGATGCACAAACTCGGTGTCTTCTCTTCTGATGTTTTCTTCCTTCTTATTGACAACTTAAACATTAAGTTTCTTCAACTGTTAAACTAACGTTGTTAGCTTTTAGCCGATATTGTCCTAATTTCCAATTCCAATATCTACCGATACATGCAGCATTGCAATCGTTATACATAATACAATCATAACATAAAATATGAATTACAATACGTCCAGGTTTTCCTTCTTTGTTTAAATGTAAAGAAGTAAAATATATGATATATTTATTATTATTATTTATTCATATTTAATGAAATAATAATAGTTTTACCACAAACAAACATGAAGTGTTTGTGTATACAATTTCTATTTTTAAACTTCAAATTAAATGTCAGGTTGGTTGGAAGACCAGTAAAATTATAACATAATTACCTAGTACAAGTATATCAGACACTACTCATATTTAATTAAATATAACTTTTACAAAACATATCATGAACACGTACGTATTTATGCATATTGTTTTACTTTCATCAAACGAGCCGGATTGAACACCCCAGCGTGCCAATTTTGGCCCGCGGGCCATATGTTTGGCACACCTGCGTTATTGGGTTTTCATTATCGCCGGAAAAATCGATAACGATTCCTACCGATATTACATAATTACACTAATATCAAGCCAATATTATCGGACATCTCGATGTAAAGGCCAGATTTTAGTAAAGAGCTGCTGAACAAAAACAGCAGCAGCAGC